CATGTCCCCCTTCGGGAAACGCTCACGCTGACCCCGTAACGACAAAAAGATGTAGCAAAATATAGACGAAGCAAAAGAGAAAGTCACAAGAGAGAAATGAAGGGGTCAGCATTAGCTCTTCCCAAAAAGGGACGTGTGTGGCGTTTCCCAAGGGTCATGCTAACACATTCCCTAAGAATGCACCAATGAATTTTTTTTTTTTATCTTCGTCATTCACCAAGCTCCTCCGCTCCCCTTCCTCCCTCCCTCCCTCCCTCCCTCCCTCCCTCCTCCTCCTCCTCCTCCTCCTCCTCCTCCTCCTCCTGTAGATTGCAGCAGTTAGCTCTGAAGTGTTTTGCGGGAGAGCAGACGCCCCAGATTTCTCGCTGATAGCTTAAAGGGGCCCACCAACAATTTTTTGACAGGTTTGAAGTTCGCGCTGAAACGGAGCTCCATCAAAGCAGGAACACCCAGGAAAAGAAAATATTACAGAAATTCGCAATATTTTGCGAGTTATTAGCAAATTAAATTTTGCAGAAAGCAACTTTTAATAAGCAAAACATTGCGCTTCGTGACGTAAAATGAAACAGTTTAGCGATTGGAGCAATTGGATTTCGCCAATTGGACGCGAGTTTGGTTGATAGCCCGTCGGCCCGGTCGGCTCGTCGGCCATTAGGCCTAGCTGCAACCATCGTAGCTTTGGGATCGGGTTGCGATCATCGATGAATTTACCGGGCTTATCGGATTTTGAGGGCGGATCTGGGCGTCGCGCCGTACGAGGACACTCCACGAAAGCGCCGCGTCTTTGCCTCAATCCGCTTCGACAGCCGCGGAAGACTCGTCTCCCGCAACTCCGCCACCGGAGCCGGAGGTACAAACTGGGGAGCGTTCCCGTTGGGCACGATATAAGCTGGGTCCCGTCGCCGCACTTTACTCGAACAGTGAAAAGTCTGTCACAGCACTAAAAGAAAATAAGGATTCCCCTCGCTCCTCTTACTGCTTTTAGTTGACCGGGACCGGGGGCGCACAAGTGAAGATACGATGCACGTTGTCTGCACGGACCACTTGTCGTCTGCTCGCGATGGTACGTCGCGGACGCCGCTGGGAGGCGCGCATGAGCGACAAGGCGCACAAGGCGAAGGCGTTATCTTCGCCCTTTTTGAACTTTAGTTTGCAACTTTATTAGCTCTGTAAAAATGACTTGTTTGAGAAATAATGACGGTTAACGTGTGATATACTTTATTTCGCTTCAAAATTCCTGGGACGGCTCTCGCCAATCACGAAACCCAGAGAATGTGACGTAGAGTGAAAGGGAGCGCCGTTTTGCGCGCGCATTCGGCACCTCGCGGCGCCACCGTCGGAGGAGGTGTTTCCGAGTTGTCAAATTAAAATATGATGCGCTAATATTTTCAAACTCTTTCGTTGTCCACTGGGTTTCCGGGACCACTAGCGTGTTGAAACCGCAAAAAAAAAAGTCGACGCTCAAATACTGTTGGAGGGCCCCTTTAAGGAATGCAGGGCGTGGCGATTCTCCTTGCATCTCAGTATCACTCCTCAGGCAATGAGATTGGGAATTATTCGCTACAAACGCCGAAAAACGAAGCTATAGGGGCGTGACCACAATAGAGGCTGGTTCACAGATTTACGAATGCTTATGACCGTCTGCCATAAAACCTCTTAAGATTTCTTACAGCGAGAGTGACAGAACACACTGGCGCCATCTATGGGGTAGCCGTGAAACCGTATATTTCCTTTTCTTTATCGTGCGTCATAATATATATATCTTTTTTTTTTTTTTTTGCATGAGAAACCTTAGAAAATGTTATAAACGACCGTATCTCAAAGATAGTACGCGCATTTGACCTTGCAAATACCGGAAAACATTCACTCTAGTGAAATGCAGTTCCGGGTTCACCTCATAGATGGCGCCATGCGTGCTAGTGCATGCTCTCGTCGTGGAAGATCGCAAGAACTCGGTCGTAAGCTCACTCGGGTGTGTGAACGGTGGGAAGGGGGGGGGGGGGGGGGGGGGGGGGGCCTTTAGTCACGTCCTGACGTACTTCCCTTTCGCCGTCCGACATTTTGACATCGCCGAGCGATAACGCAACGTCGCGCATGACCTAACGCAGGCAATGTGGGACTAACGAAACAGTGTGCCGAAGCGCATCCCGAGCGACGTTTAGTGTAACGCGGTGTACCGCGACGTAACGTACCAAAACCTAGCGTAACCCGAGGAAGCGCGCGGCACACACGCATCGATAGATAGCAAGCGCACCCTTGCGGAGCCGTCACGCTCTTCCGTTCATTACCATATGGACACGTTGCGTTGCGAGTCTCTCCTTGCCCAACACTTCGTTTTCAAACGGAATGCGACAACAGAAATAGGATTACAACCATTACTCCCTGCGCTCTCAATAGTAAAGTCACTGGGAAAGTAGCGTCAATGCCTATCCTGCCTACTAGCCGGGCACAAAAAGATACTTACAGACGAATAAACCTCAGAGAGTGATTGGCTGACCGGTTGACTAAGTTGCCGTGGCAAGCGCCAATTTGGTCCATTCAAATCTTCGAACCTTTGAAAGGGTCGTTCTGAATCAGTCGCGCCAAGATCGCTAATGGAGTATCATCGTACTGAAAGCGTTCCTCGCCGACGCAAGCGTCTTTGGCACCGTGCATGCAATCCACTTATCAATCACGCTTATCAATCACGCCGGTGTGTGTGGGTGACGAAATCTCGGTGTTCGAGAAACGTCTCTATAAAGCTACCCGTCCCCAGCGAATTTCGATCGGCTCACCAAGAACGGAGAGGTCGAGGAGAAATATTGCTCAATCCACGAACCAAAATGGCAACCATACGGGGGGAGCTGCACTACATTTTTCGTGAAGCCGCATTTCGCAAAGCCGTGGCTATAGCTCTGGCGTACCACAATGCAACGCGCGCAATATTGCGTTATGGGAGGTCACTCATCTACACACCAACTGAGTTGCTCCTCTAAATTTAGCGGGGAAGTTGAATAGGTGTATTGGGTCTGCGACGTCCCATGATGCAACGCGCGCAATGTTGCATTATGGGACGTCACAGACCGACGCACCAATTCAGTTTTTCCGCTAAATTTAGCGGGAAGGTTGAATTGGTGTATACGTCACGCGACATCAATTTTCCCGCTAAATTTAGCGGGAAAATTAACATACCGCGGCCTACACACCAATCCAGCTTCCCCGCTATATTTAGCGGAGAAATTGACGTCACGTGACCTGATGTCCCGTGTCTTATACGGCGATGTATTTTGCCTCTAAATTTAGCAGGAAAATTAACGTGACGTGACCTACAGACGAATTCAGGAGCCCAGCTAAATTTAGCGGGGAAATTAACGTCACGTGAGCTGACGTCACGTGATACTAAAACGTGTAACGTACGCAACACAATTGTGCAGAGAGCTTGGGTTGCACTGCGCGCAATGCACGAGCCAGCATGGAGGGCTACTTCTCTACATTCGACCATTAATCATCGCTAAGGCGACCTCCAACCGGCTCCAACTGGCATCGATGTACGGGGGGGAGGGCATGAAAATAAAATGATGCAAGATTTGGAAGGCGAGTCTCTGTCCAGGACGCGACACCTCTACACACTTGCCGTGTGTACACTCTCTCGAGCTCGCCAAACGGGTTGAAGCGAAGATCGCACCTCCATTTGTCATCCTCGTTCGGGCCATACGAGGAAGTAGGCGGACACCAGGAAAAGAAGAAAAGGGGACTACCGCCGCCGCTACGCGTCGTCCTCCATTTTGAAAAAAAGAATTAAAAAAAAAAAGAGAAGGGAGTTTGGTTGAAAGGAAACCCCGGAAGCTGCATAATGGGGCGAACCCGCTGAACACACAGGGACTGCCGGAACCGGAGAAGGCCGCAACGTTTACGGAGGAAGCAAATACCGACTCCAAAGTGATTTAAATTGACAACGAGATCGAGACGCAACCTATTAAAAAAAAAAAAAAAAAAGATAATGACAATCCCCTTTCGACCCTGGTGTGCCCTTTAAAAAAAACTACTACCGACCTTGATCTCTAAAGCCATATAATGCAGGGAATGCAATATTTAAAGGAACGATCGTTAAAATTCGTTCAGAATACATTATCGGTCGTTTCGGGAAGTGAATATGGTTAATGTAAATGCCGTGACCTAACGTCGTGACGTCACAGTCTCGAGTCGAGATGTCACGTGGGAAAATGTTTCCAGTAACGTGTGACGCGAAGTGAATCGGTGTGTAATTATTCACCAATTCGATTTCCCCGCTAAATTTAGTGGGGAAAGTAATGCACGCATTCACGGACGGGAGAAAAGGGATTCATATCACACCGCCCGCCGACCGCCGCTGCAAAACGCCGACTTCTCGCAACGATTTTTCTGCTCTTTATCTGCTTTGTTTTGGGTCGCCATGTCGGGCTAATATATCCGCTTCAGGTCTTCCGTGAGACAATGTGACGATCTACGGCTGGTGTCACCAGCAAAATGTTCAGACTGCCTCTGCGATTAGGCTTAGCTGCATGACGCCCATTGTTCGCCCACGTGCCAGGCAGCGTGCCCTTTCCTCGAAAGCTGCAGGGACCCGAAGCGGCCTCGTGACGCTTGTGGGCGAACCTTTCCTTAATTTCTTACTTGGCATCTGAGAAGTTCCGAATTCTCTGCTCTGAAGGCGGGGATGGAAGAACAAACTCACTTATACTTCGTCTCGCCCTACGTTATGAAGTTTGTGAATTCCAGGCCACGCGCGGATGCGCGTACACTTGATAGTCAATTATCCGCGTCGGGTTCGGGTGTGGACACACAGAACAAAATGGCCCTTCGAGAAGGGTCTTGTTTATGGATGACATTAGAGTTACTTGAAAGCTAGACTCAATTAGTGGCTTTGTATACATAATCATCGCTGACAAGAAATATCCGCAACAAACACTGCCTCGTACGGCACCCTTGCTCCGCGGGAGATGTATTGTCACGTCATCGATGACGAAGCAAATCGGTCTCACCTTTCGGTACCTGAGGAAGTTGAGGGCCGTCTGCACGTTCTGGAGCATGTGGAATCGCATCCGGCCTTTCTCGCGGGGCTGAAAGCAAGAGGAGAGAAAACGGAAAGGTTACTCGGCCATGTGATTGTTTGCTATTCACAACTGTTGACCATTGCTGCTCTCCTCCCAAACCAGAAACATCCATAGCGTTCGATCAAATATCTCTCACACAACGCCTTCAGAATCGAGAGTGCACCTTTATGCGAATCACTACAACGCAGTATTAAAAGTTGAAAAAAAAAAAACTCAACCACGTTTTCTATATTAGCAAGGGCTCTCCCTAAAAGACTTCGACATTTCCCCAACCTTCATCAGACAACCTAACATTTTCCAGCATTTCCTTAACTTCTGTTATACTACTCCCATAAGCATTCCCTTAAATATTATCAACGTTCTAGACTCCCTAAAATTCGGGCAATTCCAAGCGCCGTGAAGGTTCAGGCTGGCCCATAGCCGCGGCCGGTTCCCTGCCGTCTCCCTTTTTCACCTTACGGTCCCTAAATAGCCAGTGCGGCTAAATTGATTCACCATTCCCAACAAAATATATAGCTAATGAAGAATGCTTTCTCAGAGATTGATCATTCAAGTTTAATAATCCTTAAAAAAAAAAAAAAAAACGCGTCTAAAAAGAAAAAAAAAAAGAAAAGAAAACAAAGAACAGTTGTATTTGTTTCGTACCTTATGAGAATGAAGTATTTCTTCTCAGGACCACGGGGTCATCTAAGTATACTGCAAACCGTTTCATGGTCCCTTTGGTGCTATGTAGGTACTAGATAGCTCAATTCTGCTGTAACCGTGCGCATCAGCGGTTTAGAGTTTTGTCCCAACTGGTACAGCCCTACCCCCAAAAAAGGGAGATGTCGAGCCTATCCTTTCGCACAACGTTCTTGTAAAAAAAAAAAAAAAAATAGAAAGAAAAAAAGAACTAGTTGACAATTGTTTTTCTCGCGGAAGCAGGGGGTAAAAAGTTCGGATTTACGTGGTAAATTGGGATGCGAGTGTGCGCATTTATTTTTTTATCAGGATGTGCACACATGGAACGATTGCGACAACTAAATCTTGTGAGAACCACCTCGTGTGGCATATTAACTATAATGGGCATTCCGACTTGAGCGGCGTCGCCGTCGGCGTAACCGCGGCGACGTTTCGGCATGGTGACGTTTCGGCACCAAGCCAAAACGTCCTCTCGTGACCCCCCGAGGGGGTCCTGAGGGGGGTCACGTGACCCCCGTGAGGTCACGAGGGTCACGTGACCTCACGGTTACGCCGACGGCGACGCCGCTCGGAAAGAGGAGTTGCAGGCAGGATGAGGAGGAGGGAAGGGGGTATACCCTCCCCTCAGTATCCTTCCCTCCTCCTCCTCAAGAGCTGCGCTCTAATTCGGCGTTACAGGGAGTTGTAAACGGCTTTCATTTTTTTTCTTAAGTGATAAGGAGCACAGTCGGACGCTTATTGAACTAAGAGAACGCCACCCACCAGCGTCTCCCCCGAGAGGACCTCGAGGAGTGACAAGAGGCTGTGTCCATCCTGCAGATCCACGAAGAGGTCATCCACCCTCTTGCTCGCCTGCACAGAAAATACGACGCAAGGGTCAGTCAGACACACACGTCCCGATCACGCGTCGAACCACATGCCCACATTCTCGGGTGCACGATCCCATTCGCAATCCAAGCCAAACCAAAGAGGGAAAAGGGCCCAAAGCTAAAGAGTGTATCGCGCGGAGAGCAGCAAAACTCGCTTACACTAAGCTCACACATCGGTGTCAAGCAAAATCCAGGACGAAAGCCGACGCACCTGATCGTGCAAGATGCTTTATGAGCAAAGTCAAAGACGGAGGCATAAATCGAGCCAACTTGCTAGTCAATGCGTTGCTCTGACCCTATATACTATGCTAGGTAAGCAGCGTGAGCAATAGTGTAGCAGCCTGAACATCGAGCTCCGACACCAATCCAGGAACTACTCTGGTTTCTTGCCATGTCGTAAGGCATGCCACAGGACGTGCCAGAACAAAAATACGAAAGTTAGTCGGGAGGCAGACTACACCCAGTCGGCTAAAATCGCTAGAGCTCAAGCAGTGCGGCAACAGCAGTGACCAAGGAACGTGTCTAGAAAAGTCATCCAAAAGTCACACAAAGACAGGCACAAGCCCCATACAAACTTCCAGTGGCAACGATGGCTACAACCAAGACTAACCACCTGGAGACACTGGATAAGTTTTAAAATACCGCACTGATAATGTGTCGCTCGCAAAGGATGGGTCAAAATACGCCTCTAATATCCTATTTTTTTAAATAGTGACAGCACATTTGATATTTAGTTTCCTATCAAAGTAATCAGACAGAAAATTTGTTTCTTCGTGTTTAGAATATCATTATACCCCGTCATATCTATCCTGAATCTTGGCCAACCGCAGTTAGCAACTAACGATACAACAATATTTGGAAGAATGATGGCGGACGAATTCGGTCGGACTATACGGTACTCCATAAAACAGCCAGTGTCCCCACATCACCTACGCCAAAACATGCTCACCTTTTTCTGGTTTCCAAACGTTGTTAATTTCGTATTAATCCACGAGTAATAAAAAAAAAAAAGGCGTGGAAGCAGCGTGTGGGAGAGAAGGAAATGATTACGGGGTGTCAGAGAGGAAAATGCGGGAACGATGAGTACCATCAGCAATCAGCCATCAAACCAACAAGGCACGGGCACGCCCACACTTAGAGTCGTCTGTCGTCAACATCGTAAAGGCACAAGAACTCCACGCAGTACTAACCAGAGATCTCATAGCCGTAACTGTCGGCCGTCACAGCATCGCAGAGCCGTTAAACAGAGTCACTGTTTTCTAACTGCGCACATTAACAACCAGCCATACGTGACGTTAATGTTCGAGTAAGGTATACCCTTGCACTTTGAGGTTCTTTGAGGATCGGGCGCAACATGCGTTCGCTCCTGCTTTTAATCGTTGTTATTCAAATCACTCGTGTTGCATGTCCGGATCGCGGCCCAAATACCGAGGGAATGATTAACCTCAAATCGTAAATGAACGGCAAAGCAATTAAGCAAGTGGTGTGCAACGCGCAAGGCGAGCTCTATCCGATAACGCCTCCTATTAATCGACTCGCTAACTAGGACGTCAAGTAAGGTGTCAAATGACCTTGCTCTCAAGTGAGGTTAACTCGCCCTATACACAACAAAGTAGATTGTACCCAGCGTTACAACGAAAAGGAAAGGAATAAGGGCAAACCGCTACAATAAGGGGCAATAGGTCATATACAAAATTCTTGCCAGCCATTATCATTACGCTACTCGGAGCTGCAAAGTTGGTGGTTATCGATGGACGAGGCGCATCTTTGTTTAAGGACAATGAATTTGTACATTCAATGGGTTGCTTTTCTTGATTCACTTCAACGACGAAAAGAGAGACGGCCACGACATTGTAGAAAATAAATTGCCAGTAACAAGACTGCAAGACTCGTCACAGAAGCAATTCACTAGGCCATCCAGGTAAGTGCATGAACGCTATTTATCTAAAAGAACGCCATTTATCTAAGACGCTACGTGAAGGGCTGGTATTCGACTGGCAGTAAGTGACCATATTTGAGATGTACGACTCCCTCTTTGCCGGAATCAATGTCTATCGAGCGAAACAATCGGTAAGGGAACTTGATAATTGATCATAAGTACATTAGATGGTGTTTCTATTCGCATATCATCAATACGAAGCAACCAATATCTCTCCTTTTTTAACGGTGTAACGGTATTTCAACAACTATGAACAATACACTCTTTGCTGAAAACCTGTACTGGCGTGTGCAAGAGTCAGAAATTATAGTTGATTTGTTCTTTCTTGTTCGTGTTTGCGTATGCGAAAATGCGAAAGTGCAAGACGCAGCAGACGCTACACTTCAGAAATCTGTAACTGCACCATGCCACCAAGCCAAAAACGAAGGCGACGCCATCGAGCGACAAACACGTGAACCGTAAAAGCGAGACGCGCACATTAAAGTGTGCAGCGAAAATTCGAGCACAGTAGTGGCTCAAGCAACAGACAGGAACGGGGTACCAAACATAAACATCTCAGCCGATAAAGCTAAAACAACTTCGCCGTCCAATGGAAAAACAAATCTGCCTATTCCTTTTGTTTGATTCAGATGAGAGTAAACGTGCTGTAATATACGGACTCTGCAAAGCCAATGTGAAAGAAATTAATCCCCCCCCCCCCCCCCCCCCCCCAGAACGTGCTAAACGGTTTACAACTCAGCCGCCAACTTCCCCCTTTCCTTTCGACCCAAAATAGAGAAACAGCAATCAGCCGCTGAATAGTCCCAGTCAATCATCTTCTAAAGCAATAGAGACATCTAGGACGTGTATGTTCAACATGAAATAATTGTTTCTACCCTGGAAAGTGCGTCGTAGGAATAAATTACCGCTCATGCCGCAACAGCTGGTTCATTCGTCCCTTTATTTGCTCATTTATTCGTGTTATCACGCAGCGCCTAAACATCCTTTGCAAGGCAGGGATGTCAGTACATTTCAACGAGATTACAGGAAGGTTTCGGACGTTTTATATGTAAACTAAAATAACGCGGCTGGTGCTTTTTCCTCTTTTTTTGCTTTGTTAAAAGGGGCAGCAGAGATGTGACATCCACAGAGGCAACAAACCATACCCACACAGGAATATAAAAAAAAACACACAAACTTACATTCTGATAAGATAACAAACACTGTAAACAAGCACACAGACAGGTGACTGGCGCAAAAAAAGTGCGATCACGTGACTCACGGCGGGCGAATGGCAAGCGCTGCATGGGCTACACACGTGGAGGCACGCGTACGTCTGTCCAATCGGAAAGGCCGCACAGAATCCGAGGGAGGAAAAGTCGGAAATGGTTCCAAAAGCAGCAGAATGGAAGAGAGAGAGGGATAGAGAGAGGAGAGGGGAGAGGAGAGGGGAAACATGGAAACGATTAGAGACCAAAACGGGCAGATCGATTGATCGGTGTCTTTTCTGCTAGTCCTAAAAATAGAACAAGCAACCATCGAGATCTGCTGCATGCCCCGGTGATCGACATTTCACGCGATGATATATGTAAAGATAGACTATGTCCCCCACTTCTGTGCATAAACAATTTAAAAGAAAAACAAAACACTTTTTTTGCGCTTTTTTACGAAGCTTAGCACACGCGTTACGCTGTATCCTAAGGATTTAAATGCGGTGTCCTCGAGCAGGTGCTCGCAGAAACAAACCTTCTCTGATATCTAGCCTCTCGCACCTGCGTCTCTATTACGTGGCTTGAATTGACGTCACACCAGCGGCCATTGTGGTTGCCTTGTTGCAGAGCACGCACCTTTCAGCAGCGTAAATTTTGTACCACCGAGTTTATTTCTCCTCCACTAGAACAAGTAGGAATGAGAACAAGCATGGTACTATGACGTCCCCTGCAAGCCACGTATACCACTGCACAGAATTCGCACACTTTATATTTTCTAGGCTAGCCGTTTTTTTTTTTTTTTGTTTTTTTTCGGCTTTGTTACTAGGCCAGCTTTTTTAGATCGCAGTGATTGGCTCTTCCAGTGCACTAAAAAAAACAAAAAACGCCTGGACCTTGTTTTTTTTCCTTAAAAGTTTACAGGCCATCCAAATCTAAAGACAAGTGCCGTTATACATACCTATATATATATATTTTTTTTTTTTCATTTTTTAGAAAAGAGAGAGCGACCCGACAGCAGGCAATCGGAACAAGATCAGTATTTTGCAGCCGGTTGTGAACCCGACAAAGTGTCGACCGGCCCCGCGAGAACACAACCGGCAATCAAGAAGCCGCACCTCCCCAAGGACTTGTATATACACGTGGGGCAACGCCCGTCCGTCCAAGTCCCCGCCGCGCTAAACGGGACCGCTTTCCGTGCTCGATCACTTTAGGGCAGTTAAGAGATCCGACGGGCGCTGCGCAACCTTTCGTATCGCCGATAAACGACGATAATCGAATTCCGAAAACACTATCGGATAGAGAGCGCGGTAGGAACGGCCAAAGGTATATCCGCTGGGTACACACAGCGAACACTTTCCCGCTATTCCACTTATGGCTGGTTCACACATCTGCTTCTGAGTGGGCTTAAAGGCCGACGTACAACCTCAGATTTCTACAGGGAAGGCAATCCCCTTAGAGCTTCCCTCTCCTAAGCTGCGCGGGGAGCCAAGTTGGGGCAAGGTAAAAGATGGAAAGGGTATAGGAAAGGAGTCAAACCATTATAAAAAGAGCGAAAAAAAAACTTTTTTTTTCTACTTGGTTAGGACAGGCATGTCCAAAATAAATGTTTTGCTCAATATATTTGCCACAAAACGAAACCGAAATTGTACCCTTGTATAATGATGATGATAGTGTTTGTTCCGCGAATCGAGAAATTCGTATTGTAACATAAATATTATGCAAAAAAAGAAAAAAATATATAGACGAACATTTATTTTGAGACATGCCTGTCCTGAGCAAGTAGAAATAATTTTTTTCCCGCTAAATTTAGTTTCTTTTTTTTTTTTTTTTTTAAGAGTCCCGTTTTTTTGTAAGCGCTCAGGAAAGAGAGAGAAAAGAAAATAGAGAGCCTGTATGACAGAGAGTGTCCAACCGCTCGATAAGGGTCGAGTGGCTTAAGGGCAGCGTTTGCAGTACGAGCTGCAAGGAGGGGACGAAAGCGTTGATCGTCTGCGAGCGTCTCTGCCTTTCCGCCTGCTTTCCTCCCCGCCACGCGACAATGCAGCGCGTGCGCACTTGCGACCAGTCGGCGCGGAGGTGTCCGCCAGTAAAGTGCAAACGCTCCCCAAGGTTTTAGATGGACCCTCTCTAGAATCTAGGCTCTCTAAAAATAAAAAAAAAAAAAAAAAAACGGACACACTGGCGACATTTATTTCAACTACGTATATTTAGGGTTGCGTGTTTTCGGTAAATACCGATAAACACCGAAAATTAACCCCCGAGCCGACTTTCCTTCTTCGCTGGCACCGGGACGTTTTTAAAAGTATTCTGGGCACGACCATGTTCTCCTGAAGGTTGGGGAATCACATGTCCGTGTCCTGTTTCTTCAACATATAAGGTCCGATAAACATCATCTCTAGTCCGACACCAAATATTGACACCGAAAAACGCCGAAACCGTTGAAAAAATAAACTCCGAACAAACACCCCTGAATTCTAGAAAAAAAAAATAAACACCGAAAACACGAAATCCTACGCATAATGTTCGTTCTGCGTTATTGTCACACCAAATCTACGCACTGTCTGTGAGAAACGCGGTAGCTCATAACACTGTCAGAATTATTCCAAGCCCACGGTAAAAGAATGCACGCGTAAAAAAAAAAAAATACTTCTGATCTGAGTATATAAAAACATTTCCGCAGATCACAAGTTTTCCAGGGTACCACGACAGATGGCGCCAGTGTCAAACGCAAATTTGTGAACCAGCCCTTGACCGGTTATCGTTGGCTGTCAGATAATTCATCGAAGAAAAAAGAAAGCATAATACTAAAACTAGTAGTAGCGAATCCGAAGCTTCAAGGTCAAGCGGTCGTTCTCATTTTGTCAGACATCGGTAGCGAACTAACAGCTAACGTAGCCGAGAAAACGAAAACCGAATTACACTTTTTTTTAAGTGTGTTCGGTACAGACTCCAGGAGTACAGTAAACGACACGCTAATAAAAAAGTTTTAGTAAATGGTTCCGATAACTCCGATAACAAAAGGGACATTTAGCAAACCGTGACCGCGGGGCCGTGACCGCGCGCACTTAAAAGAAGGCTTCAAAGGCTCCGGTAGTGCGGTACACGGAACACGGCAACGGTTTGCCAAAAGTCCCTAATAACCGATAGTCCGCCGGCACCTTTGCACGTGTATCGTACCGTTATCGGGCCTCGGACTTCTCTAGTCGGTGACAGGTTAGGAGTTCAGAGGGCACTGCTCCCACCTCCGTCCATTTTAGCAGAGCGAACGCTAGAGAGGAGGTCGCCTTTTTCCCAGCGTTCGCTCTGCGGAAGTGGAAAGGGGTTGGCCTATAACCCTATGTGATTACCGATAGTACCGAGCTTCCCACGAAACAAAACAGAGGGATGAAGACAGCAGTGTCCAGTTAGTCTACTAGATCTAAACAAGTGTGGGAGTATAGTTTTAGTGTGAGAGTGCAGACACGGGCAATCAAGACCAGAAAATAGAGGACCTGGCAGCGTCGGAGGATGCGGATATACTGACCTCGAGAAATGTCCAGTGCTGCGCAGCATCGCAGCAAAGTGGAAGGAAACGAGAAAGTAGAAAAATTAAAAATAAAAGAAAGGAGAGGGGAAAGAGTGAGGTGAGAAAGAGAAAAGCGAAGGTGAGTTGTGGAAGTATCGAAACATGTCTGGAGCGGCGAAAGTGCCTCTACTTCGATCGTTTTCTCGCCGCAGAACGTTTTCTCTTTTGATGGGACAAGTTTAAATGCTCGTCGCCGTGCCTTGCGAACTGTTGAGTACGTTGGATGAGGAGTTTATCCTGTCGCCATTGCCATCATCTCACTGCTTGCTTACGTTGGAGACACTGAGGAAAATCGTATAGTTTATATTTTCTTTCCCCTTTGGGGAATGTACACTACATGCTGGGTTGAATTTCGTATAGACAAAGCAACTTCTACCAACCTGAGGGTGCCTAAGTTAAACTGATTTTTATTAACTTTCTTACTATTAATCTTTTTATTATAAGGTAAAAAACTTATAAAATCATGCATCTTTGTTCTGCTTTTCAAACACGTTAAGCAAAGCTCCGCGTTCTGTCACGCATCCCTTCACTCTCTTGTGAATGATTTTTTTTCCCGAAAAGGCATTAGAAAACTATTTCGCCAATCTAAATTAGCAGAAAAAAAAAACAACGTAATACGGCACTCTGCGCGATTTACAATTGTTACAGTGACAGCAGCATGAATGAAAACAAGAGCTCAATTATATCCCATTGCTACAGTCAGTTTCGGAGTTCAACGAGAGTGGTAAGGAGGTTCCTTCGTGAAATTTCCATGTTGATGATATAACTTGAAGATCATGCAGGTCAAGTATCGCAAAAATGCTGAACAAGTTGATTTGATTGACATGACACGTCAAAATTCAAAGAAAACTAGCATATCCCGCTTCTAAAACATTCATACAGCTAACTCTTTCCCACTTAAAAAGGAGTCTCCCTTTGGTTATATACCTTTTAGATTTGGCTTCCTGTTTATATAGTTTATATGAGACACTACAAAAAAAAGAAAAGATTTTAGGCCCTAAAGAGACGCTTTGTTTCTATTATTATGTTGCGTCAGATTTTACAACAAACACATCATAATTAAGACATCCAACGTGTTGCTAGAAAACTCAATCTCATTAATTCGTGTGTACTGACACCTACCTTAATGAGGTGCTTGTTGACCCACTTGGTGAATGTCTTCTTCTGGATGGCATCTCTTTCGTCTGCAAAGACAAAAAGAAAAGATGGCCTAATTAGGACGAGCCACACATACGCAATGCCAAAATTCAACGAACTGTATTCCGAGACGACACCAATTCAAATCATCGCCTTGCAAGAGTCAATCTGACATATTTAACCAGAACACATATCGGAAAGGGCTGAATCGCCGTCATGCGTCCGCCGCCCAAAAATACGCTGTTGTGCTAACTTTGACTTGTAAGATTCAGGTCTGGCAACTTCATCTCAAAAAAGAGATAACACCGATCGGTAACCCGTTATGATAGGAATGTCGCGTATACTTTAGTTCATCCTCGAGTTTTGACTGGTTTGACGATCCGTCGAACTTTTAACAAAGTCGAAGAAGTTCAGCTTATACAGGGTGTCACAAAAGAAAATTTACGCGGTCTTTTTTGCCGCAAAAATAAACTAGGCATCGCCGAACGCTCATTCTCCGCCCAAAGGTAGTGCTATAGGTCACCACCAGATACCAAAGTTTCAGCCCGATCCGATAACTTAATCAAAAGTTATAAGTGATTTTCTGAAAATTTCAATGGGAAAATGGCGGACGACGGAGTTTTCAAACACATGGGGCTCTATGGCACCAGAAACCAAAAACGGGCGAAAATGGACTCCATTTTCCATTGAAATTTTCAGAAAATCACTAATAACTTTTGATTAACATATCGGATGGGGCTGAAACTTTGGCATCTGGTTGTGACCTCTAGCTCTACCTTTGGGCGGAGAATGAGCGTTCGGCGATGCCTAGTTTATTTTTGCGGTGAAAAAGACCGTGTAAATTTTCTTTTGTGACACCCTGTAGGTCGCGTTGACCGACTTCTACACAAACCTTGAGGATGTTGCAAAACAAAGAATTTATAAGGCAGTTTATTTTATAAAATGACCACCGATGTTCAAGCATTATAAAAGCAAGCTCATGCACTTTTAATGTTTCAGTTATAGTTTATGAGTGTGGCACATTAATGCGACAAATATTACACTTTTTTATTTCTCCGCCAGCTGGTGTCAGCTCGTTTTAAACGTTCGCACATCCGCAAAAAAAGTCGAACTTTTGTCGAACTTTATGATAGAAGTTCGAAAAAATCGAACCTCATCGATTTCGAACCTCGGCAGGTTTGCAACATTCCCAGTTATGACGATATTGACTCCGTAAGTGTGACGTCATGGGTCCAAACAAACCGTTGCTAGGGTCGTTGTTATGGGCAAATACATGTCGCTAGGTTTCGCTACGAAAACCCGACCGTTCAATAATCGGGAGTAGGATTTAAACTTCTAAAATCACAGATATAGAAAGCTTGAATGTCATATATGTTGCGACAGAAGTGTGCCGGTAATCGCTTGTTTCTGAAATATTTACGACTGCAACTTCCGGTCCTCAAGATGCCTGCAGCAGACGACGAATGCAAGAAGAATGCCGTCTGCCACACGCCCGCCGGCCAAGCCGGCGCCGGCGTCTGAATCGGTTGAATAAAGACGATATTTTTATATTGCATTTGTTTGAAATAAAATGAGTTTCAGACACTTATAAGAATTCATAGTGTGGTGCGATGCAAAATATGGTTTATCGAAAGTCCGGGCGTCGATCGAGATGATCGTCTGCTAAAAGATCACAATGCACCCGTGAGAAAAGCACTTCAGGCGATCGGTAGAGATCCCAATTTTTTTTTTTTTTTTTGCGGACTCGCGCTATGCGAGGGTGCTTCGTATCTGATTGTAACCATCGCGTGGAGAAAGATTCGTGCAGTTTCTTCAGATTTCCGCAGAACCCCAAAAACGCGAAAGAACTGGATAAAAAACATAAGGTGAGTTTATTATAGATTGTACTCTCATCCCGGGTTCGATGGAGATATTCACCGAAAGAGCACATCCACTAAATTTAATGTATACAAAAAAAAAAAAAAAATGCGAAATTGCGATAGACATGCAATGTTTTAATAACCTGACCACCTCAATAATAATAATAACAAACGACTTATCTCGACGGCGTACGATTTGTTTCTCATGCTGGCCTGCGCTACGCCGGTAATGCACTTCAGGTCGTCGTCGTAACTGATCTGCATGACGTGGTTTGATTTTACGGCATTTTCATCCCTCTGAACTAAGCTGGGTTCTTCACAGAAAAAGAACGTTTATTGCGGAGGCCTGTACGGCCATGGCGATGCACTTGTTTTTGCCGCTCGTTTAGGGGGTGTCCAAACAGGACACTACAAAACGCACGACTCCGACAAATCGTGAAAATGGAAGCGGGCGCGTCCGCTTCTATTTTCACGATTTGTCGGAGTCGTGCGTTTTGTGGTGTCCTGTTTGGACACCCCTTTACCGACGCAATTGAGTGGTGACGCCCGCTGCAACAGAGGCCAGCAAATCTATCAAGTCGTGTGCTACCAAAGCAAAGCGGAGTGTAATACTTCAGAGGTGGCTTTCATCGTTGCAATACGCCACTGAGGCGACAAGAACATCTTCATAATTAGATATCAAGAAGTTAGGTTGCTTACAAAAAATTAGTTACTTACTTATAAGCGAAAATGTAGCCTCGTGTGGAGTCTCCATGCATTAGTCCATAACAACGCCCCTAGCAACGGTTTGTTTGGACCCAGACGCCAAGTTGTGACGTCATCACTTACGGGGTCAATTGAAACCGACACAAGCCCCGCAGTTGCAAAAGCGCGACATTCGAACGCTTCCGCCGACACGGGCGTACCAAGATGGCGGACAAAGGGCGACGTCACGTTCAGTCTCGCTCTAGTAGTAGCTCGCCTCGAGTCACGCTTCCGTCAGCAACAAAGACAAAAACAGAAAAAAAAAGCCGTTAGAAGGAAAATAAAAAAAAAAAAAAGATAAACGAAAGCGCGAGTATGAAACGGGCCCACGACTCCCAGCTGTTGGGGCGAAAGCTCGAACGACTTGTGCAGCAAGCAGCACATGCTGGGAGAGCGCAGGTGTTTCGTGCCAAGGGCCGCACCGAAACAAGCGGCGAGGTGCATTCATCACTGCCGCACAATCCCCGCGATAAAAAGAAATAACAGTTCGCGCGCGCAGCCGCAATGTGCGTATACCTGCGCGTTTCCGAGAAAGCACGCTTGTGACCCGACAGTGTTGTCGAGCTGTTGCGTATACAGCGATATATAAAATAAAAAAAATAAAAAAGTTAAATAAGAATCAACGAAGCCGACGGTCAAAAAGTGAAAACGCAGGCAACAACGAAGTCAAATCTGTCATATAATGGCACCATTTTTTTTAATTGAAACGTCCAATTAAATGCATTGCTTAAATTAATGTATTCAAGGTCCATGCACCAGGCAAATCCGCTGAAATACGTTCATCTCTACCGCGCGAAAAAAATAAACATGAAGATCTTTTGCACCAATTGAAGCATGTGCAAGTGGGTGCAATTCGCGTCGCAATCTTGGTGCATGTGCAGAGCATGCAGAGGCAACTGCCGGTCCTCCTGATTCAAAAGAGCAACTTCCTGAGCATTAGATTCGGGAAGCTCATGTAATATGGATTTGCTTCGTCGCGAACTGTTTAAACATTTGTGGAGGACGGAGAAGCGTTTACTGCGATTTCAGATAAAGCTTCAGATAACTGGCAACCTTGATTTTAAGCCGCAAGATGAGTAAGTATCGTTACTGGGAAGCGTAGCTTATTTAGCGTCACTATATATAGTATGCCTGCGCTTCTTTCCAGAGCAAAGACACTTGTGCTCCGATAGTGTTCTAGGAAGATTAAGACGGACTGCTTAGAAACCATCCTAAATGCACCCCGAAGACAAGGAAAAAAAAATAACAAGTCGCGTTGTCCGTTAATTTATTGGACCTCGTCTCAGGGTTTAGATTAATAGCGGTAACTCGTCAAGTTCGAACCAACAAATTCGATTGCGAAAGGGTGAAAAGGCGGGCAGCAAAGGACAAACCTATTTCGTACTTCTACGATTTATTGTTCTCTCATTAAGACGTGCGCTTCAATCGTCACTAGCGCCTAATGCGCTAGTGACGATAGTATGTCAACGACATATTTTAAGCATATTGCAACATACAGACAGTTTTGGCCAATCGGCTGCAACAAAAAAAAATCGAGAAAAAAAAAATAAAAAAGTGGGGGCCAACTGTGTCGCGATCTGAAACTTCACCAGCGTCATCGTGCATTCCTTTCGTGCAGTCTGCGTCCCTCGAAGGTCCAACGAAGGGGTGGACACCCGGCAAGGCCCTTGTCTAATCGGCAGCCCGATATAGCGCGCCGTCCCAACTGAAACAATGGCGATGACGCGACCGTGCTCAGCTACACACACACGCGCGCAGATATTGCCAAGTTGTTGCAAAAGACATTGGTTAGGGTATTCTATCTAGAACCAAATAAAATAGGACAAAGAAAGAGAGATACAGAAAGAAAAAAGAAAAGGGAGTCAGCGGCTGGGACTAATCAAACAGCGGCAAAAGTGCGCCATCGTGGTGTTCAACGGGTTTCCGTAGAGGCAGTGACAGACGGGCCCACGATTGCCTCTATTTCCTTTTCCAACCGCATCGCCCACCACAACAATAACGTGTTTGTGAACGTGTTCTATACTTTGTCGCATCCCACGATGGACTAAAGGTCAAAGCCACAGGCCGCCAGGTCCAATCACGTTACAGGTTAAATTATGACATGCTTAACATTGATTAGGGGTGGACGAATAATGCTCCGAATCAAAAAGTGCTGCATCATTCCTGTAGCTTCGACACTGCAAAGAGCCTGTATGTTGTGGCCTTCTTTGCAATGTAAAATTGGTGAGTCACTGAGCGCAATTCCATTAGAACCACTGCCCGCCCATCCCCATTAGACGCGGGAACCGACACGTGCATTCAAGCCAAATACCAGGCGATTTCTAAGTGGCTCGTAATTGGATCTGGTGGTCCGTAGCTTTTACCTCCAGTCCATCGTAGGGTGAGACGAAGTATATCATCCCTGATCCAAAGAACCAATCATAAACAGAAAAGGCTATAGTGAT